CTCACAAGAGCAGAGCAGAGGGGGACAATCACCTCCCTGTCCCTGCTGGCCAACCCTCTTTTGATGGAGCCCAGGATACCATATGCTTCCCAAGCTGCAAGAGCACACTGCTGGCTCATGTTAAGTTTTTCATCGACCAGGACCTCCAGGTCCTTCTCTGCAGGGCTGCTCTCAAGGACTGCTCCTCCCAGTCTGTATATAAGCCTGGGATTTCTCCAGCCTAAGTGCAAAACCTTGCACTTGGCTGTGTTGAACCTCATTAGATAATATCTGCCAATCTGCAAATTGACATTTAAAAGATTTTTTCTTCTTTTTCTAAATCCTCAGTGGCTAGTTCCATATGCAGCGTAAGTAATGTGCTCATCCAAGAACGGTTTTTAAAAATGACCTGTATTCTGACAGTTGAGTACCTCAGCTTCTTCAGTGCTGGACTGACAATTATAGACTGATCAAATTCTTACACAATTCCCCTTACAAAATGAAGGGAGGTCCCACCTCAACCTCTTCCACAGGGGCTGCTTATTGAATGAGAAATTATCCTGTTTGACTACCATGATCTGCTTCTGTTGGCAGTGTAAATAAAGGAGCTTCTGCTGGTTTTAATTATTATATGAATTATATTGAGCAACATTTAATTTCAATATTATTCCAGCTGTTTCAATCCACATAAATAAAAATCTATTCTTGCAGATGCTTTAGAGTAGATACTTACATTTTAATGCAATTATTTTAATACATTCCAGTTATTTTAATTCCTTTTGAAAACAGCAACAAAAATACAAAAAATGACAAAAATACAAAATGTGACAAAAATACAGTGCAGTCCATAGATGACACCCTAGTCAAAACTTGGGAATGAACAAATGTAACCAGGTTCTATCAACCTTGATGTCATCAGTTGTTCTACACTGGTCTCAGGCTGTCTGTTCAGTAATCTTTTACGCTAAGAATATTGTAAAATAGATGGTAAGAAACAGTTTCACTATTTGTAATGCTAGATCAAATAAAGTATTTTAATATAGAGGTAAAAATGTTATTAAAGAAGAATTAGGTCCAAGATCCTTAATTTGAATAATTAAATGGATTTTGTACTTATAAAATCATATCTAGAAATTGGTTACTTTATGGCATAGTTGTTATTCAGATCAAGCCTGTTGTTAGGAACTAAATACATGTAAATGTGTTCTTTCGGTTCAATTTTTTCAGCATTCAAAGTGAAAATTTGTGGTATGATGAAGAGCAGTTCTAACTATTGTCTCATCACCACTGTTTCATTCTTTGGTCAGCTTCTGATGTCATGAGTTTCAACTTTTGATGGCATGCATAATGTAAATTCCTAGTTTGAGAATTATTTTTAACAATTTTATTCAAAGACAGTTTTTAGTTAGAGAAACACTTCTTTAATTGAGCAAATTAAAAATATTTGATTTTTGTTGCAGTTGAAGCTGGAAACCAATTTATATAGTTCTCAGAATCCAGATTTGATGGACTTTGTTCTTAAAGTGAAGCCTAGGTTTCAGGTCTGTGTTTGAGTCTGGTTATTGAAGCATACAAAGACCTCAAAAATAATTCAAATGTATTTTATTTTTCTGTAGGGCTGTTTTTTTGTTTTTTTTGTTTTTTTTTCTTATCAGGTTGGAAAAATAGAAATAACTGTAAGATGTTTGAAACAGAAGTTGTCATTTCCCTCAGGAAACTTCTATTTCAACTTATTTCAACCATTATTTTTATATTCAGTATACATCAAGATGTGTCATACATAACTACAGCTTTTTGCTAGTTGCATTATAAAAGCCATGTAGAGCAGTCCTTTCTCTATGTGATAATGAAGCTAGACAGCAGAAGTTCTTTATCTTGTTACTCTAAAGAAAAGGATTCTACCATAACTATCAAGCTATATTGGTATGTGAGCTGCTTGAATTAAACACAGCACAAGTCTAGAAAATGAAGACAACTGCTACTGAAGATGTTCAGTAGTTCGTTACAGGAAGTGGATTTTACTCATACCGTCAATGTATGAATCTCTAAATAGTTTTAGAAAATCATTCAGTAGAATCCAAACGGCTTGCTAATCACACTGTCCCATTGGAAGTGCACGGAAGCTTTCCCAACACAGTGTTTGAAGCTATCTCCCAGATTATGTATATGAAAAATACTGATATTTCCTAAACACAAATTGAATCTAATCATCCAAAAGTTATTATTCAATAGAAGTGAATTTTATGTTGCACAAATATCGTGTGCTTTCTTAATTTTTGGAGACAAATTGAGTTCTTACCACAACTCAATTTATCATCAAAAACGATGAACCTACCTTTTATGAAACTGCCATATTTCCTTAGAAATATTAGACTCTAAGGGACATTTCATCATTTCATTCTTTTCTGATATTCATATAATCTTTTTTTTCTTAACGTTGCTTTTTCTTGTTTGATGATTTTTATTCTTCCCCCTTTAATTTGATGAGAATAAATACTATCTTCCTATTTTGTTTCTTTTAAGGAGAACTCAGCAGGAGCCACTAGAAAGCAGATATCTAATACTTTTATTTTTTCAACAGAAAATGGCCTTATTTGTCACGTAATTTACATTATTGATTTTCATCTTTTATGATTTTTCTTTTTTTTCCTCTTCTCTGAAAGCTGTGGAGTGTCCAGATGAAAAAGAGCAGAGACTTGATTCAGCAAATATTTATCTTCCCAGAGGTCCAGATGAATACATATTGGGATTTTAAGAAGTGTTTAGAGGAATTTTTTTTTGTTTTGTTTTTTTCTTTTGTTATTTAGGCTTCACCCAACAGTCTTCATGTTCTGCAGTGTCTGAAATTATGCTGTTTAGGGGCTTTATGATTACATGCATTTTTTTTCTTTTTAAATCCATCTCTTATACTGACTTAATCTCTAACTATTGTGCTAAGTATTTTATCCAGGCTTACCATGATTAGATCCTTCTTCTTTAACTAGTCTAGGTGCAACTGGTGGTAACTACGCAGGAGCAGGAAGGGTAGCAGAGTTGCATTCTCAAAGATATGTATGAGGATACAACTCTGCAGGCAGTTCCTCAAGGTGCTCCGAATGGATGAATTTATTACTTTAGTTCAGAATGGGAAATTTGGTCACTCTGATGATTTGGAGCCTGAAAGTTTTTTTTGTGTGTTTCGCTGTACCAAACGTTTTTTTAAGTTGAACTGTTCATATCAACTGAAAGTTGGATTCATGCCATCTAACTGCAGTCAAAGTACCCATTTTAGTTAATTGTCTAGACACTTTATATTGTCAGTGAAGAAACAGAGGCTCTTCAAGGGCATGATTCATCCCATCCTAAAATAGGTGTCTAAGCTGTGTCTAAATTGGAAGTAGCTACCTTTCTCCAGCAAGTAGCAGGAGTGTGCTGACGACAGGCTAGTTGAAGTTATGTGAGATGGTTCACTGGTTTGGGAGATGAGTAATGTTTTTAAATATTTTGTCAAATGGAGGCAAACACGATAAATAGATTTTAGTATTGAACCTTTCGGGTTTGGAAGGCCATAGGGCAGAAAGTAGTGTATACAATTCCCTTGCAACTAAGCATAGATAGTCTACGCTTTGTTTTGTCATATGGCAGCTTGAAGAGCAAAAGTTGATGCTTAACGCATTGTACATATTTCAGGCTGGGATTAGCCTAGAAATCAGCACCCACTTGCAGTGAGGATTCCTAGTTACTCCTCTGTACAAACAATGTCACGGTGACATTTGAAAGCTATCCTGTCATTTTCTTGTTTGCTTACTGAAAAGTGAATATTCTAGCTGAAAAACAATTTAAACCCACTGCCTAACATATCTCAAAAATAGCTTGAATTGAAAGCGTTTCAAGCTGGTAGAAATATGATACAAGTTTAATACCATCTGAATGATTTTCTCAGTAACTTTAAGAATAAATATTCATTAGAACATTGCTGAAGAGTGAAACTTTTCTCAACAGAGTAATCGGTAACAGTTTTACAGCAGAAAAATTGTTCAGTAAATTTTATTCCCATGTGATATTTGTGGAATGAAGGAAAAGTACCATGTAATATTAAACTCTGCAATGTGTCTTTTGTATTTTGAGGCATTCTTTATGACAGAGGCAAATGAAACAATGACAATTAAGATTTCACTTGCTTCTCCAGCCCTGAGCTTCTACTGAATGTTTTTCTTAATTGAACAGTCATATTTTCCAGCTGATAGTGAAGTCTCCACTGAGAAAGTACTGGATTAAACAACCACTGATGTTATCTCTGTGAAAGTTCACTTAGCATTTTAAAGGAACAAATATGGTTATTTAGCATGCACTGATACTGGACTGTGGTAGGACAAAATGACACTGTCAGAATTCCATTATGATCTGCCCGTCTCTAGTTTTCTTGAATGTTGGTAGAAATATTTGTATGCCAGAAGGCAGATTTACTTTACATCTATGGTATGTTTTGATACCTGAATTGCCATTTGTTTTTTTCTCTTTATTACTTAAGTTCAAGGAAAGGAATACTCAAAGAGAAGTATTTCTACCAGTTTGAAATGAAGATACGCTTGTGATGCTTACTTTTGCTGATACCATCTTATAGTAAGAGTAAGAAACTCTTAATATCCTATCCTCACTGTGTGGAAACCTACACTGCAAGGCTACTTCTGCTATTTTCAGGCTCTTAATGGTGGAGGGAGACAAGGCAGTTAATTAGTCTAATAATCAGACTGTACAACCTTAGTATCTCATCTAATTGTTCTTTCACCTGGGAAAAAAAAAGGCTCTGTAACCATTTCCAAACCAGAAGATTCTTCTGTTTTACCTAAATTAGGAAATAACTTCTTTTAGCGTTCTGTTTTTTGTTGGTCTTAATTAAGATGAATGGTTTCTTCTCACCAAACTGTGACTATAAAGACATACACATCATGTTTATCTTTTTAGCCTTTTAATAATAATAATAAAATAATTAAAAAGTTGGAATTATTCTGCCATTTATTATAGTTTTTTGTTTCTTGTTTTTTACAAAGAAATTTGACAAGCAGATTTCTGGAGTTCTAAAGGATTTGAAATAGCCTATGCATGATGTTACACATGCATAAATTACATACACGTACACAAAGAAAACAAGGCACTGTTAAGACTGTACAAGTAATAATTGACCAAAAGATTACATTAGAAACTGAGCTCCTAACTAAAACTGTATTGATAGTCATTACAACACCCTAAAGATTTGTATTGTTTTGGGATTTTCTGCTTAAAAGCCCAGCTGTGTCCCTCTTTCCATATGTATTGGACCCCACATTAGTAGGTGAATAAATTGCTCCGATGTTGCTGCTGGAACGAACTAAGAAGTCAGCCAAGCGTTGTGTCACACATGTAGCAGTGTTGCACTTCCGTTTCTCCAGGTGGTGACCACTAATGTAAAAAAAAAAAAAAGAACCAAGATGAGGTCATGAAGTCAAATGATGAGCAATCAGGTGTGCTGCTTCTAAAAGGCTTTCGAACTGTGCTAATGTGAGAGTTCTTTTAATATGTGCCACAAATACAGGAACATTACAATCTTCCTTCCACCTACTTTGTGCCTGAATTTTTCTTTTTTGCACTGTATGCTATTATCAGTTTTAATGATGGGGGTTATTTAAATGCTAACCTTAACAGTCATATGTCATTTTTATTGATATTCAGAATAGCAGTTTATGACATCTAGAAAACCTCCAATGATAGTATAGTTAAGACAGTAAGTGAAAACAATGACTAAATGTTTACCTTTAAGCTGAACTTCTAAGTCTATTCAGAGCTCTTGCTGATATCATGAGGATTACTAATGTAATGGCAGCCACTAACATGTATTTAGTTCTCTTCTTCCCTCCAAATCATACCCTGCTCTCACCAAACAGTGATCTTTCAGTCCATGTTAAATGGATTGAGCCAGAAGGCTCTCCCAGCTGTGCCATCTAATGTGAGAGGTGGCAGATATTGCCGACCGCTGCTGGCTTCAGTACCACTGAGGATTTAGTTCTGTCTTAATAGGGATTTCTTCAATAGTGAAAAGGGGCCACATCTTTGTTAAAACATCTGCAATCGTGTAGGAGGTCATCATTTTCTGGATAAGGCTTTAAAGAGTTCCTGTGGAAGAGTCCTTACCTAAAAATAATATTTAATGCTCTGAACCAACCGTTTACAAACGCTGTGTAGGACTTAAGCAGCATTAGATCTTTGTTTTAAACACAATACAATGATTGGCTTGAAAGAGCACGGGCTTTACAACTTCCGAAACTACTCTGCTTCTCCTCCACACATAAATATTTGATGGCCACTGGCTTACAGAATTATTGTTAATTTTCTTTGGTTTCTTCACATTAACATGGCATAGAGTAGACTGCAGTTTTCAGTAGAAATTCACTGTGAAGAGTTCCAATTTTAGTTTCAAACTCTGAGCAATTACCAATGAATACTTTTTCCTGTTGATTGACTAAATCCATTATCTCAAATGTCATCTATTCTTTGAGAGTTAGTTGTGCTAATCTAAGAATGCAAATGGAATAGCAATTATGAGAGAAATGTCTGTAGCATACCAGTTTTGATCAGCAAATAGGCAGCAATTTTTAAGCAATCAATATTTTAACTAAATGTTTGCATAGGGTTTGATATAGCTCCTCATAGATTTTTCTTGGTATTTCTATTATTTAAAAAGAGTTTAATGAAGCCCTTAACATATGGGGTTCAAACAGCAACTGTTTATAATGAAAATCCTCATTTGTTAGTGGAGGCAGAATTCTCCTTTTCTTTAATGGTATCAAATCAGACCCTGCCACTCCAAGTTTAAAACCTCAGTTCTTACAGGAAGTTACCAGATTTCTAACCAGTGTCAAGACTGGCTGAAACCATTATGTCTATTAGCTTTTTAGCTTTCTGATCTATAGCCTTTAATTGAATATGTGCTTTGAAACACTTCACCCAGTAAGACTGTATACAAACATCTCAAAAAAGCAGGTAAGGCATACCACACTCATAGAGGTGATGCCCTGTGCTTGATTACTACAATATACATATATATATTGATTTTTAAAAAGCAAGAACTGTATAAATGCAGGTAGTCTCCATTATTATTTTGGAAGGGAGCCAAATTGTTATATGGTAATATTTATTTAATTGAAAGAAACAGATAACTCTACATATATTTACCGAGTCTATCTATAGCAGAACTGTCATTGAAAGAGTACTGTTCAAAAGGCAAGATTGAGCATTCAGTGCTGTTTATCATTTAGCAGAAATTGCAAGTACATTTTGAAATGTTATTTTATAGTCAAAACGTTACCTGAAATTGGATTTAGGGCTCTATAAACATGAATGTATGTATTTCAGACTACTTAAACTCTATCAGAGCCAGTTTCTTTTCTTCATTCTTCCCATGATTAAATTGGCATGTAACACTAATGAAATATTATTCAATTTCAGGAAGTAGTTAAATTTTAAAAGAATTCTATTCTGTCAAAGCACTTGTGTTATTAAGCAGGATATGTTTTCTTTTTATTTCTCCTTTAGGCTTGGAGATTTGATGTTTAAATTAAAAAAAACCTCTTACGATAGACTTTACTTCTCAAGGTAATGTAGTATTTGCAAGCTTTTTTCATTTGTGAAAGGGCTGTAATTGTGAAGTAACAAATGATGTGCAACTTTTTTCTCTGGATTTACTTTTTATCCTGCTTATGGAGTGGCTCTGTTTACAGGAAGAGTATTTTACGACAAATAAGAGGCATGAAGAATCTCAACAGAATATCACCGGTTTAAATTTTACTTCATTTTACTTCATTTTACTTGTGACACATCAAGAAGAAGCATGAGAAATCAATACCTTTTTGTCTTTGCTGCTGGCTGTCCCGGCATTTTCTCACTAAGTCCTGAGAGTGTGTTCTGTGACATTACGGGCAGTATCCACTCTTGCCTCTTGGAAGTCCCATCAGAGAGATCGTCACTCACAGATAATAATCTTTAAATGATAAAATACTCTGTGATACTGAATAGCTCTATTTCTGCTCATGTTATTTTAGACATGAAAGTAAAAACAATTCATGCAATAATTGGAAAGCTACCCCTATACAGAAATAAACATGATTACTTATTACTCACTTCTCAATAGACGTAGCTTCCAAACAGCTCAGGGTGACAGAAAGTACAATGAAGAAAACTGACAGCTTTAGGTTGCACATCTTTGCTTCCAAACTTTCTGAAAAGAAAAATGATTGAGAATTGAGAGCAATGCCAAATACTCCTCAGCATATCCTGTGACTGATGACCATTCTGTCCTAAATCAACAGTAGCTGGTCTTTTTCATAGGCTAGAGTGAAAAAATGATTCCCACAAGTTTAGTGACAGGCAAATTCAGAGAGAAATCTCTCAACAGCAAGCATTTATTTTTCATCTAATAGTGTCAATCCTTTCCCATATCTCGAGTTTGCATTTCCTGGCGTGTCCTGATCTCAAATTTTGGTCCCAGGTGCAATTTACCTTGAAGTCATTTTAGCCTTTTCCTGAAAAAATGCTGTTGATTAATCATTGGAACACGTTTTCCTAAAAGCACATCTATTGCATTGCATCTTAAATAAGAAAAAAGGAAAGTGTTTACCTTGTAATGGTCAGGGAGCTAACTGGAGAAGCACACCTGCGTTAGCGAGAAGGGTGCATGCCACAGTTCCACACTTGCACCTGGCTCTGGAGTATCCCTTTTCCCCACTTCCTTGCTGACAATACAGCTCTTATATACCCTTCACACCTTTCTCAGCTCTGACATCAGGCAGCAGAGAGAGAGACTGTCATTAATTCCCATCCGTATCGATAGAAGGTGCCCCGGAGAGGAGCAGAGGCAGCTTGGTCATCGTTTCATTAGCACATTGGTAAATATTAGCCTAGTATATGCAGGATGCCTTCCTGAACATAATAGCATATTGCACATCAGAATCGTAGCTTCAGCTTTACAGTTGTGATAAGATGCTGAGGTAATATTCCCTGTGGGTGTTTTCAAGGGCTAAATAAGGTAACATAAGTTATAGGGAAAGCTGGAGTAAATGAGACAACGGATCACTGAAATATAAGAAAACAGACTTATTAGAAAACAGACAACGTTGAAGAGGTTTCTTGTAGAAGGATGCGATGATCAAAATAGAAAAACGTGTTCAAGGGGATGAAAGCTAAGTAAAGCGTACAAAAAGAGGGGAAATGATTTAAATTGACAGTGTGAGAGTTACAACATAGAAATCATGTTCATTTTTTGGTTAACTATGAATATGAATGAAAATTCTCTCGTTATTAATGTAAAATCTTTTGTTAGTACTGGTAGATTCATTGTTTCATGCATGGAAATTGTTTCAGATGGTATTCTTAGGAAGGGAAAGACTAATATTAAAAAGCTAGGAAATGCCGAAACAAAGGCTACCTGTGTACATTTAGTTCTAGTGTCCACAGAGCGTGGTTCAGAGAAAAAATACACAGCTTTTAAGAGACTAGGATTATTTTTTTTCTTTTAGATAATGAAAATTAAAATTAATTACCTGACTGCATATTTTTCAGTGGGAATTAGGCAGGTGACAATGATTGTCCTCAGGTGTACCTTTAGGTGCCCAAATGCATTTGGAAAACTGGTCTTTCAGTTACTTATGGGGCTAAGAAGCACAGCTGAAGTTTTCTGTGCTAGGAAATTGTCACATGCATCTTCTGTACTGCCAGACAACAGGAGTTAATTCCTAACTGCCTCTGTGCCAAGTGCATTGTCTTAACTGGAAGCCACCTTTGTCAGTTTAGTCTGCAGCAGCAGATTTTGTACTGAAATAACCAAAGCTCCACTGTTGCCTCTCTTTGGTCATCTGTGCTACTTGGGCTGTATGCAGAAAGGACATTTAGCTAGGATATAATCCTCTCACAGTGAATATAGTAGCTAGTTTGTCAATAAGATTTTTGCAAGTGATAAAATGTTGTTATAAAAAGTGGGATTCTGCTTTTGAATATACTGCTGTCTGTTTTTAATGATATGATCACATACTTTTTTTTTTTTTCCCCCTAGATTCCTTTCCTTCTGTCCTGGATGGACAGTCCCAGTGTGTAAGAAGTAAGAATAGTTCTGCTATGTCTTCACCATGACAGTGTGTACTGTGCAACTCAGAGACAAGTTTATCTCTCCATGGAGTTCTTATTGATGTTTTCACTATAGCATTTGACTGGAATGAAAAACATTCTGCTGTCATTTTCAAAATGCTGTGGCATTTTGTATCACTGCAGTCATTTCACTCCCCTGAACTGAAAACATGATTAGACCCATTTTACAGAGATAGAATTGTGCCAAAAAATAATTATGCCAATAATCTGGCTGATAATTAACAGCAGCTCATATTCACAGCTTAAACATTGAATTTGAATACCTTAGTGCAATGGAGCAGGAAGAGGTCCGGGTTCCTCTGGCTCTCAGGAGTGGCTTGCACGCTCAGTGCTTGTGAAAAAGCAGCCACAGGTTATTCCAGCTCCTGATAAAGTGTAGATATATCAGATGCAGTTCTGATCTGAGATGTGAGAAGGTTGGTTTCGTTATTCAGAATCAGATACTTTTTAAGGCATGTAAGGGATGTACCAAGACTGAATCAAGCTATGGGACATAAGAAAAGTTAAACAAGATTTTCAAAGAAGCATTAAATCTCAGATCCCAATTCCAGCTGTCATGGGGAGCACCTAATGTTTTATGGAAAGGAGGTATTCTTGATTGTATTGTAGAAATGAAACTGTGCTCATGACGCCCCAGGACCCTTACGTTTTCTCCTGGGTTGGATTTCATTTTGCCAGAATTAGTGACAAGTCTCTCCGGCTTTTTGTTCAGGTGTAATGTTAACAAATCAAAGACATTACTTCTTCTGTTGCACGTTCTTTGAAGCAGAAATAGTGCTTTTGCACACAAACAAGAATGAAATCTGAAATCATAGAATATCTCTTACAGCAGAAATATTCATGACTGAAATGTCAAGAACCTGGCCCAAAGTACCGTGCAGTTAGTACCATTTAACTGAAGTGGTTTCAAAACTATCTTTAACACTGATGAAGTTCAATAACCCTGATCTCAAAACAAAACACCACCTTAATTCTGTGCATAACAAATGTTATCTTGCTAAGGAAAGTATTGAGTATTCTTAGGAAAGAAACACAGGACAGACTCTATCCTGGGTAGTTACATGATAATTGTATGTATTTGTACTGGCATTTAAGCCCGCATAAAAATAATTGTCTAAAATATTGGGCCTATATGAGGGTAAGAAGACACCAGATCTGAGGTTTACACAGAACCCAGAGGATATGATATGTCAATACTACAGTCCTTTCTGGAAACTTCCTGGGTAAACATCTTGACTTGAAAGAGGATGAACCTGCTCTGCGATGTAGTGCACTGGCAGCAGAGGAACAGGGAGTCAGTCCTGTCTCAAGCGTTTGCTGCTTTTATGTACCAGGGTGTGGGATTTTTCTAACTAAAGTGAGCTGTATAGAGTGCACTGGTGTGTGTTTCTAATGTGGGAGTCTACAACAGCTCAGATTTGTGCCTGTTTCTCCTTGTTGACTATAAGCTTGCTCCTTTGTAGATGGTGTCTAAAGGTATGTGAAAGGAGTTCCATCATGGGTGCATTAACTTCCTAAGTTCTCAATAACCTGACATTTAAGGTTGTCTGCCTCTCTTTCTCATTTACTGCTTTTTTTTTGGCCATTCTTGATCCCCTTCCGGACAGCCATTTTCCATTTTTAATGACTGTTTTTTAATTTCTGCATTTCATATTTGCTTACTAATGTTAACAGCACACTCTTTCTATTTGTGAGAGTCAGAAAAAAACCTTATTAGCTGTTACGTGCACTTTTTCAGATGCCGTTCTGCTGTATAAGTTGGCTGTCTTCAGTAAATTACACTGTTGCTCAGTTGCCAGGAACTAGACATGAACGAATAACTCACAGTTTAGTTTGTCTACTGTATTAAAACAGAAAATGAAAAGCTCTAGGCATTAATCTGAGGTTAACATTCGTTACTTCTACTTGGTATGGGCCATTTAAGCAGTGACAGAAACTCAAACAGCTCTTCTTGTTGGTCCCTAAACTGGAGTTAACTCTGTTGAAGAGTACTGGAAGCAGCAGCAGCAGAAGAGCTAATGGAGACAAAGTTAATCGTAGAATCATAGAATCACAGAATCACCAAGGTTGGTAAAAACTCTAAAATCATCAAGTCCAACTGCCCACCTGAGGTAATTCAGAAATGGTGGCCGTTCATGGAACCGACTAGCAAATGGAATGAAGTAATTTGGATACGTAGCAGAACCTTAAATCTGACCTTTATGTTGTGTTATGCTACTCAGCTCACATCATGGACAGAACAATGATGTAGCTACAAAGGCTGCTGCAAATGATTGCTCAGAGCATAAGTTCAAGAGAGTTGTGCTGAATCAGTTCCTATAGCTGGGAATTTCCCAAGCAAGCAGAATAAATCCTGTGTTTAGATCAGAAAACTCAGAATTGACAGCACAGTTGGTGAGTTATATTTCCTAATGCCAGTCCTGCTTACATTTTATAGAGCTTTAGTTGCAGGGCTCCTACTGGCTTGCATCTAACAATTCACCTCTGAATACAACAAATAGTTTAAGTTCTTGACATTTTTTTCCCTGTCCTTCAACTCATTTCCAGAAATAGAAGAAAAAGCTGAGTTCTCCTTTGGTTATCAATGTCACCTACTAGGGCTCTAGACAGTGCTAAAGGTGACTAGGTAACATGAAATATTACTGCCCTTCTTCCTTTCTTGTAACCTAAGCTATCCACTGCTATCTGCTACAGCCATTAACTAATGTAGCTATCTATAAGAATTCATCTATAGAAAGCTATTCAGCTTTCAGATATATTGCTGTAATATGGTACATACCACAGTACAGTAGTATATGGATTCTTATTAATAGGCAAACTTGCATGGGCACCTCAAAAAAGGTTAAGGAATTAGGTGTGTGAAGAAGTACTGTTTCTGATTTACCAAGTGTTACTGTGAGAAATCCCTATCCCTCTTCTGCACCCCAACAACTTATAAAGAGCATAGGCAACTATAGAAGATTCTGTGAGACCAGGAGCTACTCTCCATACCTAAAAAGTACAGAGCAAAAGGAGTCATTCATCAGTAAGAGAAACTGATGGTTTTCAAAGTAAATCTACACAGAATCACATCAGCCCTTCTTACCTGATAGAGTGCATAAGTTTGAACTAAGTTTTCTTTTACATTATTTCACTTTCAACAATCAGACTCTTTTTTTCCTCCCTCTGCAAGCTGCAGTAGAGATTGACAATTTGGCTTTGTCTTGAAACACTCTGAGTCTTTCAGATGATGCTGTCTTGACAGCTCTGCCATTAATAGTGGCATTTTTTCTCCTGTTTTAAAGAGAGAGTTGTGCTGAACTGGGAATCAGTCACGTAAGTAATAATTTTTTTGTAGGGGCAAATGCAGAGTACTAGTTTACGTAGGAGGATTTTCGTTGACAACAGTATGAAACATAAATTAACTTATTTATGGTACGTCAACACATGTAGCTGTAAAAGAAGATAGCCCTCCTTCAAAGAGAAGTGCAATAGGGCTACATTTACTGTATTCCTGCATTGTTGTATATGTGAGCAGAAGACCTGACCTTTTCATTCTACTTGGAGATGAGAAAAGATTTTGATATGCACAGGGAACATGAATCAGTACATTAAATTGTCTCTCTACCAAAAGAAGTCATTAAAAATTCATTAGGAATTCAGCATATGTACCAGGATTAGTGCATTTTGGCTCTTTTACAGTCGTGTCTCTTACAACAAATATTGCTTGTTTCCATCTGATTACCCACCACTCCATTTCTGGCTGAGATCTTCCCTGACAACAGAAGACATACCACAGGTGATGTGGCTGATTCAAAAGGTGATGCCTTCTGCAAGAAACTGTCACTGAATCAAATACCCAGTGCAGAACTGAACACACTATATTACTGCAAGAAAATTAGGCTCTGGAAATTTTATGTTGTCAACACAGATAATAACACAAATAATTTCATATTAATGCGTTTTGTGCCAACAAATGCTACAGTTTTCATGGGACTAAGATGAAAATATGTTTTCATAGCATTTGATACAAAAAAGAACCCTGTGCAGAACAGCAGAGAAGCACATACTTAAAGATTTTAAATCTTTTAAATCTATGAGTGTCGAGTACTTACTAAACATTATTTAGAATGGATAGCATGAACTCTTCTTTTGGGTTCGAACCTTTTGTATTGTGTAAGCTGTTGCCTAGATAGATGGTCTTCATAGCCAGTGATAAACTTCTGGCTATGGCTATGATTCTAGTGACTGTGGGCTTCCTTTTTTTACCATTTTCAGAAGCACTACAGCCCTTCCTGATGCATTTCTCCAGGCTGGAAATTGCTAATTTCATTTCCAGAAACTTTCAAATTGCCACACTGTTCATGCTTATTGATATTGTGTGAAAAAATGAGCAACTTTGGCAGCTTTATATGTAATTCCACATCAACATAACATAAGTTCATATAATTTCACGTCAACAAAAGTTCAAGACATTCTTAAAGTAACTATAAGCAGTAGTTATAAACTCTCATAGTATTCTCCGTGGTGTAATGAATTGTTACGGACTACTACTCTAGGTTATGTATTGTCCTGTTGCCTTTTATAATGCTTGCAATAGTTTGCACTGGTTGATTAAACAACTGTTAAAAGAACCATAAATAAGTGGCTACCATGGAGGTGAAGTATTTTTTTAATGATGAAATCTGAAAAATACAGTTTTCTGAAGTCAGTTAATTTCCCTTGTCAAAAGAGGAGTTATAATTGATGCAACTTAAACCTTTCTGAGCAAGAAAGGGAGATCCTATGAAAATCACCCATGTAGAAGAAATGAGGTGTCTGTAGTTAGAAAGTTGTGCTCAAATGTAGGGGCAAAGCTATGTGCCCAATTCATAGAAATGTCACTCGTATTCCCCTCTTACATGAGGATATTTCTCACCTTTTAAGACTGAAGTCCACATTCAGAGTTCTCTTAGAAAGGCCAGGTGTATCACCTGCAAGCATTTTCTAGTAACCGGTATCTAACCAGTTGTGTGATGGCATCTCTGCACACAAAGAGTATTATCACACACCAAGAAACTTGGGGACTTGATGAATAGCAAAAGTGAAATGCTTTCAGGTTACATAAACCACTGATTGATGAATCATAGTTAATGTCTTTTTTTTTTTTTTTTTTTTTTTTTGGGAGGAAAAGGCTCCAGAGAGTCTTTGAAGCCTTTGAACTGCCAGTCAACCTACAGTACATTTGTTCCTTTAACTTCTCTTAAAGCATGTTCATGAGCCAATATGCCTTGTTAGTGGAAAGCTGACAAGTTGAACACAAAACAAATCCATCTGTACTTTTAAAAGGAGGTACTGCCCAAAAGGATATCATTAGCTATTCAACATTTTGTTTTAAGTAGTTAATTTATTCTGAAAAGCTGTTTTGACAGTTGGAACATTAATGTTTTCTAACATTTAAAAATAGAAGTTTGTATAACAGAATGTCTTCCAGCCTTGTGGCAGATTTTCTGGAGAATGAAGAATTTTATGTCCTTTTAAAGTTTGCCGCAAGCCTGAAAGACCTGAGCCTGTTTTGCTAAACCAAAACCAAGAAACAACGCATTCATACGTGTAGAAATCAATGTGGTAAACTGCTTTCTTAAGAAAGAAACAGTGTTATGACAGTATTTAGTTTAAATAAATATAGTTCATTATGAAAACAAACAACCATTAGTGTTTTGCACATAGACAGGATTAACTCCATGTAGGTATCAGTGCATGCTATAAATGACTTCTTTCTGTTTTTCTTGTATTACAGGAGAAAAAACTGAGATGATGTTGGTTTTAAGAGGAATGCACAGAGTTGATGTTAGAGTCAAGGACGAAAGGCAGATCTGAATCTTCACCTAGTCTCTAGCTGACAAATGTGCTCTGATGAGGTGAGAGAAAAGAAAGCAGCATATTATGTTCAAACTAATTCTGAACTTAGGTACAAAATGAACAGAAGGACTTGTATGTTTCTGTATTTGTGCATTTGCAGGGAAAAAAACCAACAACGCTCCACTTTTTAAATACAGCTGGGTTCTTTTCTGCCTAGCTTGGGTAAATCAAGCTCTCATTTGTAGATCTTTTCATTGGCCAGTGCAGTGAGATCCTTTGGCTCCCCACAGTACACCCCAGTCTAGTATAACCACTGCTAGAATAAATACATTGTTGATTAAAGAATGCACTGTTAAATTATTGTATCTTTCTTTATTTTTTGCATTCTTCATCTCTATCTTCTGAGGAAGTAGGTTTCCAAAATACTGGGAGGAGGTCTAATTGGTCTGAGCAGATGTTGTGACCCATTTGAGCAGCTGAAAGCAAAAACAACATTTTGAGGTTTTCAGGTTCAGTTTGGCTGTTCTGTTCAAAAGTTTAATTTTGCAATTAAGCTTTTGGAGTGTGCACCAAGACCAGAGGACAACAAAGAAAATCCCACGTTGTCCCTGTTACAAGTTGTCTCTGTTAGCCTCCATCTGACTGAAAATGGCTGTGCAACTAGAACAGTGCTAGATGGCCAGTGTCCCAGTCAGTACAAGTGAGGACTAACATTTTAAGCTCTACTGTGTCCCCTGATAAGCTTGCAATAGGGAAGAAGATCTCAGGAGACACAACTGAGAAAGGCATTGTTTGGATTCAGTCCAGCTCAGAGCTGGTGGGGGAGATGACCGGGAAAATAATCTGTGTCACAACATCCTTACCCATCTTATTATACTATGTCCTGTAGGATGTGAAACCCACGATTGCTGTAGTGTTTAGTTCTGTGGAGACATAGCTCATATGTCTAGTTTTTCCCAAATAAGATTCAACTGTGGTTGGATGCTACCACACTGCTAGAAAAGAGCGGTTTAATCCTCAGTGTCATATTTAGACTGAGGCCAAAAGTCACCTGTGTATCTTGAATAGATAATTAATCATTATTTCTAACATTTGTTTAAGACCAATAGTTGTTCTTGCTTTTTAACTGAAAATTTAGAGCAAATCTGCATTTTCACTTGAGCTCCACAAGCAATTGTAAAGAGGTTCTGATCTTAGACTTGCTGGCAGCCTTTTTTGTTCCTCGGCCAAGACAAGTAAGTCTAGAATGACATAAGGAGCAGAGAGATCAAGGATAGGTGTCATTTGACCTATTTTTACTTGTCTAAAACTTAGTTACCTAAGCTAAGCTAGTTCTTCAGGCTTTCAAATTGAAAGGAAGCACCTCCAGAGACCATTTTGTCCCACTCATTTTAGACAGCTGTCTCAAGATAAGATAAATTGCTCTCTGGAAATATCTGTCTCTAGTACTTATTGAGAGAGTCTATATGAGGATCTTCAACAAAACTACTTGCTAAGAATAGAGTATACCTGATTCTATACAAATATTTTACTCTTTCAAGGTATTTTCCTTTTATTGGAGCACTGGAATGACGAGTGTCCCTCAAAATCTGTCCACAGATACAAGAAAATATGTAAATTCTCAATTTCTCAAGTGGTAGACTAATAATGCAGGAAGGAGTGAACTCGGTGCAAATGAGATAGGGATAGATGAAAATTAAATACTCCAGGACATCAGAGATGCTCTGTAATACTGTATTATCCGTAAATTAGTCACAGTAGAGAAAAATACTTAATTCCATGCTTACTGAATTTTACATGAACTCAGTGAATATTAAACAGTGTACATTTATGAACTCATGTGAATTTCAAATCTCTGCTCTGATCTTTTTTGGAGTGGAATTTTATGTGTGCATGTTGCTGACACCTGGGAGAGAACTGGGAGTGACTTCTCACCTTCAGACAACGTCTCAGTCCCCCTGCTGAATCCTCTGAGGTGAAATAAAAGCAAGTTACAAAGGTCAAGATATGCACAGTGAGTGCCTCTCAGTGGCACCTAAGCACATCCAACCACTGAAAATGTTCAGAAACTGAAGGAGTCCATCCACCAAAGTGCTCAAGTATGGTCCCTAGAGATTTGTTACTTCAGGCTTGTTTTTATACACACAGACCATATAAAGTAGGCTACAATTATCTACTTTAAAACTGAGAACATGCACTTACCATAAAAATGTTCCCTTGATATCCTTCAGCTTTCAAAATGCTTGAGAAAATGCAAAAGCTCTGTAGCACCCACAGGTAGCTAAAAAATCAAATAAATATATATATTTTTAGTCTATTTTTCTTTTCTGGGAAAACACTATTTTCAGTGGAATAATCTATGTGGTTTTCTGAGTAAAAGGCACTTGCCTTCCTCTAGGGTTGTAGAGCTAATAATATGGATATATAGCATTTGTTGATTTGTAAGCAGCAGTCTCTAAGATCCTTGGTCTATGAAGCCAGGATTCATATAATTCAGTACTTCCCTTCTCATGGTGCCACAGAAAAACAGAACACTACCGAAGAGAAAGTCTGTATTAATCTTTCATGAATGCAAACTGTTCTTGTTAAGATTCATTAGTGTATGTGCTTATGTGCTCATGTACATATCCAGAGGATTATGCCCTTGAAACATCTCTCTCTTAATTTTTCATATAAATATAAACTCAATTCATACCCAATCCCATCAGTAAGTTAAATTTCTTTGACTTTTTAGATGGTTCAGCACATAGGTCCATAAGCTCTTTGCAGGTATGGTCGTTTGAACTGATCAAATTGGGTAGCACATACAAAAAGAAATCTTCTGGAATGGGCAATATGAATATTTGAAAATGTGAATCGTTAAACTACAGAAGTCAATTGAGATGAAGTATGCAATAATTAAAGCTACCATCATGAGGAGTACTTCAGCTTTTGACAAGATAGTATTTTCTTCTGCTGCTGCTTTATCTTTTTTTTATTATTATTATTTCTAAAGGAAAGAGAGCACTTGTTGTCACCTAGATACTTTTAAATAGGTATGACGGATAACATTATTTGAAAATAGGGATCTCTATAGTCAAAATCATGGCCACTTTACTCTCTGCAAACATTGCTTAAAATATAAAACTTACGTAGAATATATCCTACCAATATATGTGAGATGAAATATTTAAAAATGGATGGAATTAGAGATGGAAGAAAGGAATACTAACCTTTGTAAGCATGGGGAGAAGATCAGCTACACTGGGATCTAATGTTCTGCTTTCCGATCAGTTACAATAAATAGGTATCAAGTTCTAAGTGCACTTTCCTAACCAATTCTCTTGATTACTTGCAGTCAGATTTTCATAGCTAATTATTCCAATTAGACTACTGAGGTTTTGGTATTTTTAATGTAAAAGCAGGAGTAATGCTTTAATGATGCTAGGACTTCTGTTTTACATAAAACAAGACATAGTTATGAGCAGAGGGCTTCTGCACCCAGTAATGATACAAGAGAGAACTCACTTTGCAGCTGAATGAATACTACAAAATACTACTTACTCTGTTGAAGAACTTTTCTTTGGATGGGCAGTGTCCTCATCCTTCATCATCTTTAGATGCTGTATTAGGGAAGCAAGGATGATCATACTGAGTTAAGGCAGATTTATACTAAGCCATTTTCTATCTCTGTTCAGTCTTGCTTTTTCATTGTACTTTGTTCTGCAAACAAAAAGCAGTATTTTCCATTGGAAACAATAGGTATGTGAGGAAAACATAAAATGCAAGAATACCTTCAAATTAATGGGAAATGGGAAATAATATTTTACCTCAGATTTTGTTTTAAGGAAATGAATGATAGAATTTTGAATTTTAGTTATACTATATAAGCAAAATTTCCGTACAGGTAGTCATCAGGTATAATTTGGACGCCATCATGAAGAAAGAACAGAAAGCAGGGCTGTAACTTTTGTGAAATGTATGTCTTCTGAGGAAGAAGGTTTTCTCACACTGGAGGAATGTTAAAAGATTTTTTCTTGAGATATTTTCTAGTGTGTGACAACTGAGAAGGTTGTCAACTGAGAAGACTGAATGCCTTCAGTCATTTAACTTTGTCAGTTTTTATTCTAAGAAACAATGGAGAACACTGCCTCACCTCTTGCTGTGGTGCAGCACTGAGCAGACTGGGGTTCTCAGTCACTGGTGGTCATCAGCAGAACTTCTGAAAAATGGCTGTATGGTGCCTAAGGCCTAGATGGCCTAAAGGCAGAGACTGTTATTAGTAACTTGAATTAAAATGTTTTACAGTACAGCAGTATACTTCTAAGTACATGAGACTTTGCTGGTCTGCTATTTCCCCACGTCAAGCTGACAAACCTTAAGGGGCATACTGTAGTCCAGGGTGCAAAGCTGGGTGCTCCTTCAGCTAGAATAAATCTGAGAAGCCTTGTCCAAGGATGTTGTGCTCAGAGCCAGGTGCTCATTCATCCCAATCCCACCCTCACCAAACTTTGTAGACCTTGCATTTAGGCTTTTTCATGTGCATTCCTGTGTGAGAAACATACATGAATGTGTGCCATCAAGATACTCAGGGTCACAGGTGAAGCATGCTTCAGCACCTTGAGTTGAGTCTCTCTCCTGAGTCCCATGTCTGATGTCTGCCTGCTTTGATCACAGTCACAATGACTTTCCACTCTTTGGTTTTGTAACATCCGCTAATCAATAACTAGCAGCACCCAGTGTGCAGCACTGCCCCAGCGGTGTGTGACCATGGGCAGCTTTTGTACCTCTCTTCTGCACAGTGCACTGACGTCACCCAACTACTGTCCTAAAAGCGAGGGTGACCCTAGTGAATATTGCAGTGCCTAGTCATTAGGATCTTTGCCCCTTTTTAGAACTGACAATGCCTACGTTATTCAGTACGTAGTTAAAATTAAATGCTTCAAAAATTGATCCAGGAAGATGTTATACTAAGAAACACAACAAGACTTGCAGCTGGAGATGTTAGGGAGAGTAGTATTATGCCACTGTGCTTCAGAGGCAAGTGCTTTATGTCACCTGGAAAGAGCTACACTCTCTTCCAAATAATTCCAAGAAAGCAAAACATAGCCAGTGATTATGCTTGTTCTGCTTTCCATCTAGTAACTCATCTTAAACAACCTCCCTAAATGTGAGAAACTCAGACTCACTCCTGTCTTTCAGTCTGACCTCTCATTATCCTTTGCTCAGACATTGCCTCATCCTGTAAATGTACATAGTTCTGTACACTCTTTAAGCCTGTGTCTTTTGTATCTGTGTGGGTTCTCCGAAGTGTACATCTGTAACTGCCAAAAGAAAAAATTCTGCAGTAAATTATACTTGGGTTAATTTTTAACTGTTCAGAATAAAAGCAAAAGTTTAAGTGTACAGTATCAGTCATTTCTGCTGAAAATCTTCTCAAAACTGTAAGTACCTGATTGTTTTGCCCTGAGAATCTTTTCCTTTCCTTTGTTTCAATCCAGCATTAGTGTATTTACATTTGGGTAACAGTTTGAACTGTGCTTAGTGGAACAACATTTTAAAGTGCTTTTTGCAACTGCCACGATAAATTACTTAAAAGTCCCGACAGATACTCTATTTGCTCTCTGCTAATAATTAGTTACTTCATTATTTTTTAGTCCAACTTGTAAACAAGATGTGAACTTATCTGTTTACCCAAATGACTAAGCTGAGTTAAATGAAGGATGTGTTTTACACTGAAAATAAGATGGTCCACTGGGACTCAGGGAGGGCAACTGGCAGAATATTACTTCCAAGACTTTGAAATCCACATGTATCCTTTTTTTATCCCCTCCTTTTTGTTTGTTCATTAAGGTGAAATGTTGTTTAAAACTGCAACATGATTATGGATTTAGTGTACAAACAGGCCTAAATTCCCACCTCTCAACTGTAGCCTGTCTGCTGTCAGCCACACAGCCTATGCCTACTCTGATCCACACAAGATGTATGCTTTTATATTTTAGGCTAAATTATATCCACTATCCTTCACACATTTAATTTATAAATGCAGCCTGTAGCGGAACCATCTGCATTGTGCTCTTTAGCTTTTCATGCAAAGTGGCTGCCTTCTGCAGATGGGCTGATTTCTGTTGGTCTTTCTTGACCTGCTTGTGATGAGAGAAAAGGAAATTCTGTTCTGTAGTGGAGGTGGCTGGAAAAGTTGTGATGTTACCTCTAACTTACCTCTAACTTATTCTTAGCCTGCATAAATGTATTCCAAACTCAGAGCAGAAGTGGAAGGAGTAAGTTCTTGTAAAAGGGATTTTATTGACCTCTTCCCTGAAAGTTCAGTGGATATTGCAAACTTAGGAGTAAAATGCAGGGGCAGGTTTTTACATTATAGCTCGTAGGTGAATTGGAACCTGAGGGCAAACTTTTGGATAAATACAGTCTCACCTGGCCCACACAAACTTCCCAAGCAATTTGTTACAAAATTTAGCCCCTGTGTGAATATCCGTGCAGCATAAGCTGTCTCTCATCTTGCTGTTGGCTAAAGAAATGCTGACAGATGCTCACTGAAGGAGATAATTTCCTTACAACTGTGCTGATTCTAGGGTTGTGTTCAGGGCTGGCCTGGGCAGCTAAGGTTAGGGCTTGCGATCATTCCTCTACAAATATTTGAGGTGACATAATGCATCACTGGTGCTCAGATAGGTACTCTTCACCCTTTCCTACTTTGCTTTCATCCTCACTTTCTCCTTTCTTCTCAAGTTCTTTGCTCCACATTCCTACTTTTTCTTGACACTTGCTGAACCACTCAGTGGGCCAAATCAGTTCACTACCTGGAAACCTGTTGTTTTTTTTTCTGCCTATTTAACGAGCTAGAGGTTTGCAGAAGATCCAGGAAGTAAAAAATAAGCAATGGGAGTGCACAGCAGAGAGATGGGAGACAGGATAGAGAACACTATTGGCTCATCTTTAGTTGCAGAAACTGAAGTGTGAGTTGTAAAGTGGTTTTAACCTGTAATATAAATACACCTAAACTAAAAGATTTATACATGTATATCTCCTTGATGTAGAATCTTGGATTATGTTGCCTTCAGTTCTGCTTGACCAAATGTGACAAAAAATATTTTAAAGCTGAGGAAAGCAACCTCAGGAACACAACTGGTATTCATCATTCTGTCTATTTTGTTAATCAGTTCACACACTTAATAATCTTGCAAAACCAGATGATGTGTCCCATAAGCACTAGTGAAATGCAGGGACTGGTACAATAAGCAACAGAATCCTATTGCCAACTCTGAGGAGCAGAAGACAGATAATAGGGACTGCATTCTTTGCCCGCTGCTCATCTTTTGACATGTCATGTGTACTACAGTCTGAATAAAGCACATTAATATTAAGAAAAGGCATAAAAGATTCATTGGGATCTAAAGTCGAATGCAAAATTTCTGAGAAGATGCAAAGCTGTATAAGCATATTTTGCTGTGAAATCATCAAATTATTAAGGTTGGAAAAGACCTCTAAGATCATTTAGTCAACCTGCAGCCACCATGCCCACTAAACCATGCCCCTTGATTCCACATCTATCCTTTTCTTGAACACTTTCAGGAATAGTGATTCCACCACTTCCCTGGACTGCCCGTTCCAGTGCTCAACTTCTCTTTCTAAGAATAACTTTAAAATATCTGAACAGAGCCTCCTCTCGCGCAACTTAAGGCCATTACATCTCTTCCTATCACCAGTTACCTACAAGAACCCCCACCTCACTATAACCGCCTTTTAGGCAGTTGTAGAGAGTAATAAGGTCTCCCCCGAGCCTCCTCTTCTCCAGACTGAAAGATCCTGGTTCACAAGACTTGCACTCCAGACCCTTCACCATTTTTATTGTTCTTTGGACATGCTCCAGGGCCTCAGTGTCTTTCTTGAAGCGATGGGGCCCAAAAGTGAACACAGTACTCAAGGTGTGGCCTCACGAGGGCTGAGTACAGAGGAACTATCACCTCCTTGCTCCTGCTGGCAGCACATGATACATACATTCAAGCCAGGATGCCATTGGCCTTCTTGGCCACTTGGGCACATTAATGGCTCTTGTTCAGCTGGCTGTTGACTAATACCCCAGGCAGTCTGCCTGAAACCTGTAGCGCTGCATGGAACCAAAGTGTGGGACCCAACAGTTGGTCTTGTTGAAGCTCATCCCATTGGCCTCAGCCCATTGATCGAATGTCCAGATCCTTCTGTAGGGCTTTCCTACCCCATGGAAGATCAACACTTCCTCCCAGCTTGGTGTCATTTGCAAACTTACTGAGGGTGCACCCAATTCCCTTATCCAGGTCATCAATAAAGATCTTAAACAGAGCCAGCCCCAGTACTGACCCCTGGGGAGCACCACTTGTGACTGGTCGCCAGCTGAATTTAACTCTATTCAACACTATTTTCTAGGCCCAGCCATCCAGCCAGTTCTTTACCCAGCAAAGACTGTACCCATACTAGCTACAGGCTGCCAGCTTCTCCAGGAGAATACTGTGGAAGACAGGGTACAAAGGCTTTGCTGAAGTCTTGGTAGACTATATCCACAGCCTTTCCCTCACCCATAAGGCAGTCACCTGATCATAGAAGGAAATGAGGTTGGTCAAGCAGGACCAGTCTTTCGTGGATATGTATGGGCTAGGCCTTATTCCCTGCTTGTTCCACAAACATTTTAATACTAATGACAAAACACAGCACAAGTAAACACCCGTAAACAAAGCAGAAGTATAAACTATAAAACAGAATTAATTGTCTCAGTTGCTGATCAACTACACTTAATTTTAAATTATTTCCAGGAACAGTACAATAATGTGTTACTCTTTTGAAGACTGGAAATGTACGGGTGGCTATGGAAGGAGTTCATGCCCGTGAATTTGCCAAGAATCAAGTTAATGAAGAAATACATTTGAGAGGATTAACATTGTTGTAGAAATCAGTGTGTGAAAAGATTGGCTGAGAGGGTGTTGGGCTGAAGAATGTAAAAGGGCAATTGAGTTCTATTGGCAGACTTGTCAAGGGCAGCTTGCTTCCTAGCCATGAAGTGGAACACATTAAGAAGAGCAGTTGTTGCAAGGTAGAACTTTGAAAGCGCATCTAAGAGGAAAAAGGGGAAATGAGCCTCTATCTGTTCCGGCTGTAAGGTAGGGCTCTGACTTGCTCTGGTTTTCTTCAGCTTACATCATCAGGCAGTAGGGAACTGTAGTGAATAACTGGATTTGATGAATTCCTTCTGGTAGTCCTTAGGATCCTTTGACTGATGTTCTTTAACTCTCTGTGGAATGCAGCAGATGTGGAGTGGCTTTTAGAGGTCACTATATTCCAAGTCCCTGGAATATATTGCTCCTTCTTTAAATAAAGTTTTGGGAAATTGGTAAAATGTGTAAGAAAGCACGTGGCTTAGCAGTATGAGAAGCTCTAACCGTGAACCTAAGGTGGAGATGACTAAATGTAGACAGGGAGGATTTTTTTTTTCATAACTTGGGATAAATTATTATGGTGTGGTTGTTGTTTTTTTTCTTTTTGTGTGTGTGTGGTTTTCTGTTGTTCTACTTCTGTTGTTCTACTTCTACTTCTGTTGTTCTAATGCTTTTAATGCCAAGAAACTAGGCCTCAGTCCAATTTTTACTAAAATTAATGAACTTACATTGGTTCAAGTGGAA